GCTCAGCCATTTTCCCTGTACAGTCTATCCTTCAGGACAGATGCCTTCTCCCCACCAGTGCAAAGATGTCTTTATTAAAGATATACCAGACATGTAAAGCTCTTGTTAAGGTAACAGACCGTAGCACCCATCTCTTACTCCTCAAAGTATGTGGCTGAGCAAATCTCTTTGGCGGGGCAAACCCTGGCACAAGGGCCCAAAGAAAAACACTGGGAACTTTGTGGTGGCTCTCAAGAACCCAGGAATGGCATTTCCAAAGATGCAGACTCATGAAGTGGCAATTTTTAGTTTAGAATAGACCATTTTGGCTAATGAATTTATCAAAGCCTTCTTGATCTGGACTAAAACCTGACCCTGATGTTCCTTAGCACAGAATCCTTAGAATAATTTTCCACTTTTCCATTCTCAGGTCCCCCATCATCTGTCTCTTCCTCATTGTCCACCAAGTAATCCGACTGAGCAGAGCAGCAAGTGGAAAAGGAGATTGCCTCCGCTTCCTACTGCATCGATCCATGGTACCGAGTACCTAAATATGATGACATCATATTTCCACCAAGGCAGATGACAAATCCTCCTAGGTACATAAGCCGGTGCCCCTGAAGTAGCCACAAAAGTTGACAAGGGAAAAAGTTCAGAACTACCTGAAAACCTTGTACCCTCAGGGGATACTGCAGCAGATGGACTGTCTAGAATCTTCTTGACCTGATGGAGGCACTAGAGACCCATTCCCTCTATTGGTAGTGGCTTGTAAAACACACAGCCCAGTAGTGTCAAGTGATCTTTCACTTTCATGAACAGTCAGCACTGTAGTGGCCACTACAGGGTATGACACGGTGCTGCAGTGTTGATTGTTCATTCATAAAAGTCTGCAGGGCTGTGTGATCTATATGCCTAGGCTGGGTATGTTTATGAGCAGCCACAAATGAATAACAGGGCCACAGGCTGTGTGCTCCTTCGGGGGGGCTTAACTGAAAATTACAGCAGTACTATGACCCGCTCAAATTATTTCTATTAACAGAAGACCAGCAATAGTAAAAAAAACTAGGGGGTGATTAGATTAGAATTCATTTTGGATGATCCATACATTTAAGGCTTTACGCACACTGGGTGTTAAAAATGCCACTTTTATGAGCATTTTCTGCCTTTAAACACTGCACAATGCTAGCCTATGTATATATGCATACATAGAGGTTTACAGGCATTTAGAAGCAAAAAAAAAAAAAAAAAAAAAAAAGCACTGCCAGCACATTCAAGAGCAGCTACATTTTGGCAAAAAACATTTGACATAGCTAAATGCATCTAAATGCGTGTTAACACTAGGCACATTTAACGCTTGAGTATTCATTTCAGTGGCTAGAATAAGCTATTATTCTGGCCAATGATAGTAACACACGTTTTGGAGTAGCAAGTGTATTTTCTCCCCCCAACCCATCATTTACAGCTTTAGGTGCGTTTTTGGTGCTGCTTCTTTCCTTCCATGAGAAAGGCGGTCAGGAGAGCTTGGCAAATGACGAGTGTGTATGAGACCTAAATATTGTTCTCTAAGAAATTAAAATGAAATATTGAAGTATTTTTATTGTTTGCTCTATGACGGCAAGTAAGAAATTGAAAATATTGGTCTAGTAAAGATTGCAGCTTACTTTATCACCTTATGCTTCATAAAAATGCAGCACATCTGACAAACCTAATGTTCTCTACAATGTGTTTTGGGCCAGTGCTGAAGGACAACAGGCGACTCCGCTGGCATAGAAAATAATCAAATATATACAGTACGGGACTTCATTGTTCTCAGAAAATAGCAAAATATTAGAGCAAGTCAGATTGGTGTAAAATTTCCAGCGGTGTTTTCTTCTATGTAAACCACTGTAGTAGAAAGCTCTCGCAATGAAGTAAATTAAACTAAGCTCAATTAGCAGAAGGGTCAGCCCCAAGAAAGAGTACCTCCTCATTCTGCCATCCAGAGAAATGTGAAAAATGAGGCCCCAGATTCCTCTAAAAGTCATAAATTCCTTTAAAGGCAGCATACTGTTAATAATGCTAATTGTCTGGATGTCATACAAATTCAGTGTCTTCAATACTTGAAAGCATCAAGTCTAGAGGCAGTCAAGCAAGGAAGTCAGCATTGGCAGCTCCCAGATTTCATTCTGTACATGTTTTCTTAAAACATTTTAGTACACACAGATATGAAGACAGACACAAAAAAACCATTTAAACAAGGCTGTGGAGAAATGTTATATAAACCTATCAATGTGACTATATTTGGAAGAGTCTATGGCACTGTTCTGGAGAGTGCAGTATGGTATTTATAAAATCACAACACTGAATACCAGTGCTAGATTGCGTATCACCTGTTGATAACAAAATTTCCCGCAGGCATACTCTCTGAACAAGGGGCCGATCGCACCTTAGCTCTACCAGAGCTCAATAGGAACATCCACAAACCAATCTTCTAGAAGGGGAGAAGTTGACAGGCAAGAAAGGGAGAAAAAAAAAAAAGCATTTTCTTCTCAATCTATTAAATACCATTCATATTTTGCTTGGCTGGATTTTAGCGGATGGCTCATTGAATCACAACAATGGAAATACAATTCAACACGAAGTACATAAACAAAAGGATTAGTGCGCTATAGAGAGTGTCTTTAAACTGTAAAGTAAAAACAGTAACCCAAACTCTTATAATAAAAAGGAAGAATGGTATTGAATATCTACACCTTATTTTGTTAAAATAGTCAAACCATTTATAAATTACAGGTCACACTGGTATTATTGCCAACTATGGAACTCCTTGATGTCCCAAGTAAAATAGCAGCTCCAATACCTAAAGTGTGTAAAAGGTGGCCATATATGAATCGAAATTGAGTTCAGCAGGGTGCAGCCAAAATTTTAATCCATGTATGGGCAAGCTGGTTGATCTATTGATCAACTTCTGTACAACCAGTCTGTTGGATTTTTCCTGAATGGTCAGTGCTGAAGGCTATAGCCAGCAATACTGGGCAGTGTGTTCTGAAGGCAGGGAAGGCTCCCCACTTTTAGAATACAATAGCACAGCGGGGGTTATTCTCCCATCCACATCTGGTAATTTTTTTTCACTCAACCCGCTGTTTAATTTTTTTTTTAATTCAATGTATGGCCAGTTTAAAGATAGGGCCACTCTGGAGAAATTAATCTTTTTTATCCGTATTGCGATCATTTGCTACACATAGCAATTAACACACTAAAAATGTTAGTAGCAAGATTGAGCTACTAAACAACTCCTGTGTAAGTCTAGCCCTGGGGTCTCCAAACTATGGCCCTCCAGCTGTTGAACTACAATTCCCATCATACCTCTGGGAGTCTTGCCTGTGGCTGTCAGAGGCCTCATGGGACTTACAGTTCCTTAACATCTGGGAGGGCCATAGTTTGTAGACCCCTTGTCTAGCCTATCCAGGTGAATGTAGGAAAACGAATGAAACACGTCACCCAAAAAAGCAGGTCATACAAGTAGCATGCAGTAGTATCTTATATTGATCAATCATGAACAAAATGGAGGATAGCGAGATAATGCAGGACTTATAGCTGCTACATTCTAAATATGTAACTTACCCCATAGGAAGCCATTTATTTAGTAATTATTTGATATATCTAGCAATCAATCCACTAGCAATTTTAGTAGCAGGACTGAGGTACTAAAAATCCCTTGTGTGGCTCTAGCTTCTCCAGGTAAACACCTGAAAATAGTGATACCTGAAAACATTAATCTCTTGTTACAAAGAAATCACTATCACCAGTGCAGCCCAACCTTAAAGTCTGCACCCAAAGTTTGTTTTCTCTAAAGTAGTACCGGCAACATTTTTCCCATTTTCGATAGCATAAGGGAGGGTTTTAATCCCTGTCACTGGGGAGATTTACCTTCACTTCCTGTCCCATAACCAAAACAGGAAATGGTAGGAAATTCCTGAAAATTAAGGGAATCCATTGGGGGGCCCCAGAGTTAGTGTCCCCATTGTAAGATTTCCCCTCTATTCCTGTCTTGTGACCTCATCAAAAGTGAAAGTAAGAATTCCCAAAATTTTTGGTTAACGGTAAACGGGACAAATCAAGAGGGTGAATTTCCCTAATGGGGGCACAGGTAGCAAGAATAAAAAAAAACCACACAAATAAACAAACAGGTGTTCTAATCCATCTGCAACAAAAATCCAACCTGCCTATAGTTGGATCGAAATGCAGACGGTTCCTGCTGAACTGGCTGAATTTCAATCCATCTATGGCCGGCTTTAGACTGGCCATACACTATAAAAGTGTTCCAAGTTGATGCTCAGGGTGGACACATTGCTATTTAGACAGTGCAGAGGTTAACATATTTACTGAAAACCCCTGGTGTCTATAACAGATTTTCATGCATCCTTGCAGAACTTTACAGATAGTATAACAATACAGTATGTACGCAGGACTATTGGCATTTAAACTTGTGGACCCAATGGTGATCATGAAAACTAGCACATCATCGGTTTAGTTGCATCTCATTAAAGATCTACTTGTGTATGATTAGCATTAATGCAGAAAGTCCACATATAGAAATGATCAAACTGACAAACGTGTTGTTTCAAATATTCATTGTTTTGTTTCTTTTTTTTTTTTTTTTTTTAAAAGTGCAATGCTAAATACTCCACTTACAGTCCAAACCTTTATAGAACAGATAAAAAAAGATAGTTTTCCTGATGTTATAAAAAGTCTCTCAGTATTAAGAAATACAACTTGATTCCCCCCCATGACTTCAGAGAAAGGCCCGGCTCTTCCTTCTTCAGTCACATGTCCACTGAACCCGCTACAAAGTCCTGCACTGCCAAAGAGGCCCGCAATGTCTTACATTGCTCTGACAGCTCAGGACTCAATATCTAGTGGAAGATTAAAAAAAAAAAAAAAAAAAAAAAAAAAAGAAGAAGAAAAAGATACAGGCTGCGTACAAACATAGCAAGGAGTGACTTGAGTAAAGAGAAGGACGGTGTGCATGTCTGAGATGGTCAATTTTCTACTGGTGTGGGATGTTGAACAGGCTGGCTCACTATAACTTGTACTACATAGTCCTTAGGAATCTTCAACTCCTCCAGTCTCATTTTGTCTGTCAGTGGCCGCCCAGAAAAGAACCATCGCTGACTGGCAGGTTCAACCCCTTCGACAGTATGGAGGCGCCGTTTCATGTGATATACAGTGTCCGTGCTGCGCACCAAAAGTCTAAGGTCCTTTCCTGTGGAGAGGCGAAGTCGCAGCTGGCATTCATGGCCAGAATTTGGAGGTGGCTCAGGTATGTCCAAAGTTTCTGTATCGCTCTTCTCCTCAATCATATTAATGGGAGGGGCAAGGCAGTAAACAGGTAGCTGGTAGCGGTTTCCCAGTTCATCATAGCACTCAGTAAGGGCACCTTGGAAAGAAGGAATAGGTACACATTTGTTAGAAAAAAAATATATATCTTTATAGACAGCAGAACACAATGTAGAAACTATACAACTGAAGGTCTAACTAAACAATAGCATAGGACTTGAAAACTTTTCCCATTTAGATCATGTAGTTAAATATGTATCCAATAGAAGAATCCATTTTGGCCACAAACTGTCTGCAAAAGCTTTTTTTTTTTTTTTTTTTTCTTTTTTTTTTTTTTTTTAAATTTAAACGCATAGATGCTTACCTTTCAAATAGGCACCAACTATGCAACGGTGTTTGCACAGTGTGCACACTTGGGCCAAATCATACTTCTAAAGTCATTCTTGAATCCCAAGACAGTTTTATTACAATTATAAGTAGACCTTCCAATCGAGAACACTTTTGTAGTTCCAACCAACATGCTATGCATTTAAAACATTAATATAACAAATGTCTATATGAACTTAGGAACATAAAAAAAAAAAAAAAAAGTACAGAAATACACTGTGCATGTCCTCCTGCACAAAATAACTCCCAATGAAATGGGAAAAGTCAGACAAAATCCCCTCCAGAATACACTGTTTGCAATGCTTTGTGATAGAGACAGCAATCTCCATTGAACCCATAAGGCAAGGACAGGTTTATCAGTCCAGCTTGACATGTGAAAAACGATGGGATTTAATCACAAAAGCTGCTGCCTGCCAAACTGTCATGCGACATTGTCTTATGGCTGAAGGTTAGACACAGATTTTAGTTTTTTTTTTTTTAACACTGGAAATTTGTGAACATGTGCTCTGAGCTGATAATCACTATTTCAGTATAGTGCAGAAAGCAAAGGCAACAGCTCTGTCTGTGCCAGATGATGGTAATCTCTCCCAACACTATGAAAACAGTAAATCATATGTGCGACTAGCAATCAGTAGGTTTATTTCTTCACTACACATTCATGCCAAACATTTTTGATCATAAGAAATCAATCCCACATATATGGTATATAGCATTAGTGTGGCACAACACCTTTTACTCCTAAATGAAGATTTCAAGCGGACAAACAAAACACCAAAAAAAAAAAAAAAAGTGTGTGAACTGTAACACTACACTCAAAACTAGTTTTGGAAAAACTCATTTGCTGTCATACCATATTTTAACTGCAGGTGGAGCGTGAGATCACAGCATCCTATTCTGAATGAGAACTTCCAATAGACTGTTGTTCTGCACATGGTTCTCAGCTGGTCCTGGTCCTCATTAAAAATGTAAGAGCATTTTTTTTTGTTTATTGGCGTCAGCTGGCACTCCTTTATGCTGTCTGAGCATGACACCAAGATATGAAAGTACTGCGTTTGTGGTTAGTATGCACCCTCTGTGCATGTCCATTGACCTCATTCTACATAATGGTAATTAGCCATAATGATTCTGGTAATCACATCTCCTGGGCTTTGTAACACAACACCTAAGATAGGAAAACACTTACCATAAAAAGAAAACAGATATCATCCTGGAGCTTAACCCAAGACTGTAGAACACATTTAATACAATGCTATATATGGAGCCAAATGATACTGGAAAAAATAATAAATGTATTAAAAATACATATACAATATTGCTCATATAAAAAAGGTATTTAATGTGAAACTGCTCTTCCCCATGTTTAATGTGGGTATATAAATGACCAATTAGAATATTCTAAATGGGCAATGAAATGGCAATTGGTGTAGCTTTTCGGATTAAAAAAGTAATGGTAGGCATTTTGAGATGTCTGCTCTTATGAAAGAATTTCATTTTAAAAAGGACCAACTCCAGACAAAAAAAGTTTTGTTTTTTAGTTTTCAACACAGTAAGCAAAGATCAGAATCTCAACCAGGTTTATATTGTTTTCTGTAAATCCAATGGGGATATTTACTTTTACATCCCTGGGATAAGAAGAAAACAATATAATATGGACTGTGATAAAATGGGACAGCAATAAAACCTTACAGACATTCTACCCTTTCCCCACCCTTCTATCCAAATAAACATTGGGCCTGGATGGCTGACAGATTAACCACTTGCTCTCCTGAGGATTTACCCCCCTTCCTGACCAGGCCATTTTTTGCATTACGGCGCTGCGTTAATTTAACTGACAATTGCACAGTCATGCAACACTGCACCCAAATGAAATTTGCATAAATTTCCCACTAATTGAGATTTCTTTCAGTGGTATTTGATCGCCTGTGCTATTTATTTTTTGCGCTATTGAAGAAAAAAAAACCAACATTTGAGAAAAATCCAATATTTTTTACTTTTTGTGATTATACATGTCCAGTAAAAAAATTTTAAATAATCAAAATTTCTTCATAAATTTAGGCCAAAATGTATTCTGCTACGTCTTTGCTAAAAAAAAAAAAAAATCTCAATACATGCAAAGTAATTGGTTTACGTGAAAGTTATAGCGTTTACAAATGGCGGTATATATACTGGGACTTTAAATATTTTTAAAAATTTTTATTAGTAATGGCAGCGATCAGCGACTTATAGCGGGACTGCGGCGGGCATTCTGACACTGGGGGGAACTGACTTGGTGTCACTGACATCCCCAGTGACACCAGTACAATGATCAGTGCTAAAAAAACAAAACACCATTGACACTGTACTAATGGCACTGGGAAGGAAGGGGTTAACATGAGGGATAAATAAAGGGTTAACTGTGTGCTGTGAGTGGTTTTACTATGGGGCTGTGTGTTTGTGTTTCACTGTGCACAGCCATGCAAAGCAGAGTGCACGAGCTGATAAAGACCTGTTTTGTTTACAAACAGTTCTCCTCCCCGTTGGAGATCCTCGGCAATCACCGGCCAGGACCCGGTGATTGACAGCCACGGCCAAGAATGCGCCCCATACCCGGAAATGCAAAATCACATCTATATACACGTGATTTTGTGCACCCGTGCCACCCTGTAGCAGTATATCTGCTATAGGGCGGTTGAGAAGCGGTTAACTTTGAAAAGAAAGGCTGTGGTCACATGATGGCTACAGTTGTCAATGTTTTACTTACTATATTATCACCAGTGATTTGTACAAGTGTAGGGTTAAGAGCTGATTCACACATGTGCGGTGCGGCTTGAAAGCAGAGTTCCACTCAAAAGCGGAAGCTACGCTTATTTGCCTCCCCCCCCCCCCTCCACTGCCATATTTGACACCTTTTAGGGGAGGGGGTATGGACACCAGTTTTTGACCAATGAGAATGCGCAGTGCAACTCTCGGCATGCGCAGTGGGCACCCGGCTGTGAAGCAACCTGTCACATTCTGGTGCCCACAGTTGTGATGCTGGTGCTGGGGAGAGAAGAGGCGGGTGAGCACATCACTGGACCCTGGACAGGTGAGAGTGTTTATTAGAAGTCAGCAGCTACCGTTTTTATGTCAGGTTCAGGACAGGATTAGCTCAGGATCTTATTCTGTTCACACATATGCGGTTTGGAAATGGTTCCCATACAAGTCAATAGCATGTAATCCGCACCTGAACCGGACCAAACTACACAGAAATCATACATGACGCTTTTTTAAAACCGCACTGAATCTGCACCGGACATGTGTGAACAGGCACCATAGGAACCAATGTTTCTCTTTTTGAACCGCATTAAATCCACATATATGTGAATGGGCACAAATTGATATCTGTGATAGTTAACTCAAGAGAATTCTGGATCCAGTGCTTTTAGCCAACAGACTGATCTCTGTATCTTTTCACATAGCAAAAAAAAGAAAAAAAAAGAAGAAAAAAAAAAAACACACAACTTTTCCTATATTGTCAGTACAGATTAAAAGAAAAAGATTTAATGGAAGGTGTTATATTATAAGTTTTTGTTTTGTAGATATGGGGCATAAGACACCCCCCCCCCCCCCCCCCCCCCCCACCAAAAAAAAAAAAAAAAAAAAAAAATGGGTGAAAAATGTCTGTGCGTCTTATAGAGCGAATATGGATCAGCCGGTCCGGTATTCCCACCCCCGCCGTGTTAGAATACTGGGCCGGCCGCTCAGCTCTTCTGTGCAGCAGAACCTGCTCCTCAGTCCTTCCTGTTCCTTGGTCCAGCAGTGTTCTCACCGTCTTCTCTCCCTGGCGCCAGCATCTTTAGTGTGGGCACCCAGCTGTGACAGCTTGCGGCTTCACAGCCAGGTGCCCACTGAGCATGAGTGAGAAGCGCTGCGCTTTGTGAATGGTCCTGTAGTCTTCTGGGACCTGTCATGTGTCCCAGAAGATGGGGAGGGAGGACAACTCCGCGAAAGTGGGAGCAGGTACCTGTACTCGCTCCCCCCCCTTCTGCTCCCCAAAGGTCCGCAGTCTCTGGTCATCTCCCGTCACTGTGTGTCCGCAGTCTCTGGTCATCTCCCGTACTGTCCGCAGTCTCTGGTCATCTCCCGTACTGTGTCTGCAATCTCTGGTCATCTCCTGTACTGTGTCCGCAGTCTCTGGTCATCTCCCGTACTGTGTCCGCAATCTCTGGTCATCTCCTGTACTGTCATCTCCTGCAGTCTCTGGTCATTTCCTGTACTGTGTCTGCAGTCCGCAAACCATTGGTTCAGAGTATTTTTTTTTCTTGTTTTCCTCCTCTAAAACCTTGGTGCATCTTCTGGTCAGGTGCATCTTATGAAGCTAAAAATACGGCATGTAGGAGTATGTACATCATCTCTGTATCACTTGAGGCCAGTCACTTCACTGGGTTTATGTAAGGGTTTACAACTACTTTAATGTAACATCTAACTAAAACCCTCCCCCCTCCTCTCATGGATAGAAGTTATTGTTACAACCCCTGTCAGGCTTTTGTTGCATGTGGCCCTCTTTGGACAAAATTATATTAATTCCTGTCTGCATGAGAATGTTAAAGTGGAATCTCTCTAGCATGGGCACAATGGCAATAAAACACTTATTAGCAGGGCGGGGAAGGCTAGAACC